TCAAGAGATGTAAATTTCAATCGTGTGGTCTTAAAGGGACCTCAACTTACAGCGACACAGTCCACAGGCTAGGCGTCCCACAGGTAGCGTAGCCTCTAAGTTGAGGCACAGAACAAGGAAGGCAGCCGCACACTGGTCCAATGATCACAGAGCGAGAGACAAGAAAGGCAAGGCTCACCGAGCCATTTATCTCTCTGCCCTTCAACTAATCCCACTTGTATTTATCGGCCAGGCTGGCACAATAAACTATCTCAGCCTCCAAATATTCCTATGTATTGGCTTTGGGATTTACTGCCTGAATATGGTAGCTTCTGATTAAAAAGTCTATGCTGGGCAAACAATTGATGCTGAATGAAGGAAATGTGACTGGGTTGCCAATATGTAGCTTTGTATTAAAAACAAAGTTCTGCATAACACTGCCATAAAGACAGTTTCCCCCACAGCTGCTCTGCACCACTCCTAAACAGAATTTGACTCTACCCTGGCAAGAAAAGATATGATTCTGCAGTGAAAAAAAAGCCTCCATCATGGTTCATGGGAAAACATTCACATAATTTTGTCAATTTCACACAGGATAATCTAATTTTTATTCCTCCTTTCCCAACCACTGGGTGGTTTTATTTTGCTTTAAAAAAGGAGAATTGCCAAAAAGAAAAACCCTAGGGCTTACTTCTGCAGGATGGATCCCTTAATGACCAGCTCTTCATCCAAGTCTGCTTCATTAGCCATGAAGAGCAGCCTCTTTCCTGTGCTGTCCACTCCAATGAAGTCACGCTGCTCCACTGAATCACACAAAAGAAACAAAATCAAACAAAGCCACTTCTCTTGCCTCCACAGCCAAGTCAGAAAACAGGACACCTGCTCATATTGCTCTTGGAACCAAACACAGGACTTCAGTTTAGAAGAGGTGCCATGTGTGTTACGTAGTTAATATTCACCATGATGTTTAAAAGGATGGCACTCAGGGAGATTGTTGGTATTGTTATAAAGGAAATTTATGCTCCAACTTTGTTAAGTTTGAATAAGGTCTGTATATTACAAAAAACGATTATACCAATGAAGTTTCCTATTCTGATAACTTTATCATCATTATATAAGCAAATGGCCCTTTTTTGGGGAATTATTTTTTATTTTGTAAATATACATTTAAAAGATATACATAAAAATGAATAAAAGATATACATCAATATTTAGAGGCATTTGGGAACATGTACAAATAATTCTCAATTAGCTCATAAAAAATGATATATATTTTTTATATATCTGAAATTACTTCAAAAATAACTAACAAATGAGTGTGGGAAAATAGAGGTGGGGTGGGGGGCAGTCAAAAAACTGCTAAATCAAATGAACCAGGTAACTAACCGTAAGCCCCTGGCATGGCACAGAAAGAAAGTATAAGGAATTCTCTTTCTGAAATAGCTTACTTCGGTCTGCTCACCATGAAAATGAGAATGATATTATTTAAGGCCTTCCACTTTCAACTAAAATTAACTACATGTCTACTGTGCAGTAGGTTTCATGTTATATACATAGCATTCAAAACAAAGTGCACAGGTGTGGAATGTCTCTGGTTGACAAAGATCTTACTGGTCTTCTATGCTTCTATGTTCTTTTCTCTACTCAGATTGTACGCTCTTCAAAGGCACACTTATGATTCTTTTACCTCTCATAACATCTAGTAGTGTTGAACACTTGATAAAATCTGCTACTAACATCTGCGCGGCTTTTATAGCTTACATAGCATTTTCACACAAAGGCAGCATAGCATAATAATTAAAAACAGCTTCGAAAACCAGAGGTTCTGTCTTTGAGAAAGTTCTCAATCCCTCTATTTGTTCCTTTTTCATCTGTAAAATGGGGAGAATAATAGTGCCTATTTCACAGGCTTATTAAGAGAATTAATGAGTTTCTTTCTATTTTATTTCACCAACGTAATTAAATATAGAGATATATTGTTTAAATCTGAATAAAGAGAAACTACCATGTTTATTTGTTTTTCCAAATAATTTCCAATTTTCCCCCAAATTAATTTCCCCCAAAGAAGGAATAGTAAACACTGCCAATTTGAAGCTAAATTTTGCAGAGAGCTTTACACGCCACACAGCACAGCAGTCCTGACATCAATCAATTCATCCAATACATGGAAACGAGAATATAACAAAATCTGCAAAGATCTGATTATGACAGAATTGTTATTTTTGGATACAGTTTGGAGGGCTTGTCCTACCCAGGTCTTTTGGCTTACAAAAACCTTTAATCACTAATTGTCCTGGGAGTAATAATTTCGAGCAAGTCAGTTTTCAGCTATGTTGTATTTCAGTACCATAATCCTCCCTCTCAGAGCCTCTCCTTGTATTTGCTTCTTTGTAGCTACCATAGTAACTACGGTCTCAGAACATGATGTAAATTATACAAATTTGGAAAGGTTCTTTTCTATTCTCTCTCTTTTAATATGCTATTTCTTTTATTTAAAAAATATTTATGCTATGTGTAAAAGGGTTTCTTTCTATTCTGTTTCACCAAAGTGAATTCCATCTTGGGAGTGGAGCAGATAACATTAGAATGTCCATACTAGGGATGAAGGCTATACAAATAAGATTAACAAAGCATTTCAAGCTATGAATTTCCAAATTTTTCACTCAGTAATTAATATTCTACAACACAACATAGTCCAGTAACTCCCAGAAAAATGATTACTATGTAAACAGGAACCTGTGGCCCACTTTGGACAGCTTCCAATAATGTAAATAAGGTTCAAGACATCCTTGTGGGAGTGGGACTATGCAAATAAAGTATATAGAACCCTAATGAGAGAATTTTGTCACCTGCTAGGCTTAAAAGAGAGCCACTCCTAGAGCAGAAGAGGGACCTCATGAACACCAAGACAGAAGAGCCAGGAGCGAAATGCATCCTTTGGACCCAGGATTCCTATACTTCCTAGATTGAAGACATACACAGAGAAAGAGAGCTGTAACCTTTGAGACTGTGAGGGAGCAGGGTGAACATCCTGGCCTATGGAGCAAGGGAGTGAGTGCCTTCAGAGAGGAGACTTGCTGACAAGTGGGGAGTCTTTGAGCACTTATTAGCAGAGCTAAAAGAGCTTTGTAGTCCTTGCCCAAACAGGACCCAGTAGAAGGTGAGACGAAGCTGTCCTGGTTAAGAACTGTACCTGAGTTTTCTTGATTCTGAGTTGTAATCTGTTGTTTCTGTAATAAACCCCACAATTTTGAGTTTTGTTTGAGTTCTGTGTGGCTAATACATGAAACTATCACACCAAGAATAGTAGCAGAGTATGCAATGGTAGGGAGGTAACTTGGTATTACAATTGGTAAAATGGCTGGAGGGGGGAGAAACATCTGACTTCTGCCTCATAGGAATCAACCTTTGGCTGTTAATAATTTTTTAAATGTCTTATTGAGATATAACTTATATATCATAAAATTCAATCATTCATTCATATTAAAAGAGTTGTATACTTATCACCACAAACTGTAGAACATTTTCGTATTTTGTGCCTTCATTGTTATTAGCTCCCCATTCCCCAACCTCCCCTGGCATACCCCAAGAAAACATTAATCCAGTTACTGTCTCTACAGTTTTACCTATCCTGGATTTCATATAAAGAAAAATATACAGGAGCACATGTGCCTGGATAAGTAGGGAGCCATGGAGAACTGTCTGAGAGTCGAGGCGCTGAATGCGCTGGACAGATGTAGTCTGCAGCGTTTGGTCAGGTTAGTCAAGAAGTGTTGGAGCGTGCCAAGAGGAGAGCAGTGAACTGGCATTCACTGGAGCCCCCTAAAGGCAGGGTGAGGGTTTGTGGCCCAGAGAGGCCAGACCCTGAAAGATAGCCAGCAGCCCACCACCAGCACCTTCTCCCAGTAGAGACAAGACAGATTCCCCACCCTCAGTGCTTCCTTCCGAACAATGGCTGAGTTCATGGACTGTGCTTCAAGTCAGTGTGGGACATACTATTCATCTATGCCAGAGGAAGGAGGGGCAACTCACATTTCTTGTTACTAAGGAGGTAACTCCAACTAGTGGAGTGGTCAGACACAAGATGTCCTTTGGTCTTAAAAGCAACTATCAAGCATCACAGTCTAATCTCCCATCCAGCTGAGAGCATCTCTAAGGACCTCTACATAGTGGTCTACCCAGGGACCTACTCTTGTCACTGTGGACTCCAATGACTTAACCAAGAACTCATGTGGTGACAGTTGGTTTGGGGCAGAGCGTAGACTTTGTCTTGCCCATACGAAGCTGCTCATTCCCTGACCCCACACCACCTCTTTTTTTGGGGAAAGCAAGTGTTTCTTAATATATTTAAATTATAAAATATTTAAGTACATATTTGAGGTGAAAACATGCTAAAACATAAATACAACTACTTTTTTTTTTTGAAAATGTAAAAAATGTCATTTATAATAAACCAGAATTTAGAGGGATACTCTACATGATACATGATAAGCTCTTTTCTTTTTTTTTAAAATCAATTTATTGGAGCTCATACAATTCATCACAATACATAGATCAATTGTGTAAAGCACATCTATACATTTGTTGCCCTCATCATTCCCAAAATTCGCTTGCCTCTTG